TGGATGTCAAAATATTTGCTTACGTCATTCATTCATAGTTGTTGTTCTAATTAATTTTCTCAATCAATCCATCAAAAAAATTTGCTGAAAATTCGTCGTTGAAAGGGGTAATGATTATCATCGGTTGAAAATTTTTCAAAGAAACAGAAGCTAAATGTGTGTATCTTTTTTTTCACAGGTGTTAATAAATTATTCGATGTTATTGATGCTAAAATGATTTAAAAAAAATCTTTAACCCTTTTTTCGTAGCTGTATGTTCAACTGACATTATCGTTCAAATACAAAGTGTGAAAAAAACATTGATCGGTGATAAGTTTTTGTTGTTTGTTTTTGCTTTTTTTTCCATCGGCATCAAAAAAATTTTTTGTTTGCTATTTTTACTGTTATGGGTTCAATATTTTATATCAGTTTTGCTATTTTCATCCAACCAACCGGCTAATCGACTCTTTTTCCATCATTACCCATTGACCATTCAACTTTATTGGATGTCATCGAATTGGATTCACTTTCATTTTTTTCATTTTCTTTTTCTTGTTAATCCGAAATTTCTATTTCTGATTTCCAAAAGAAAATGGCCATTTTTTTTCTTCTTATTTAACACGATTTTGACCATTTTATGATTATCATCATCGATTTACGAAGAGATACCTTAAGCTTGGAAAATCTTTTTTCTTTTTTATCGATCATAATCCGGTCATCATCGTCTTCGGGTATTTCAGTCTGACGATGATTTTTTTTGCTTCGTTTGGCTGGTTGGTTGGTTCGATTGATTCGATTCGATGAATCCATTTAAACGACGACGATAGAGAAAAATCTTCTGGTTAATCAACCGATTTTTTTTGTCTCTTTCATCGATTATGATGATTTTTTTTAAAGAAAAATTTTACTTTCAATTTTCAAAATACTTGAAAACCACCACTATTCATTCATTCATTTAGTTGGTTGGTTTTGGTTCAAACGAACAAAATGAATGAAAAATTAAATTTAGATTTCAGGTTTCATAACACTGTACTTGAATGGTTGAATGAACAACATTTTCTTTGATTTGGCTGGTTTTTCAGATCGGTTATTTTAAAAAAAGCAAAACAACAATCACTATTTTAAGATAGATTGTGGAAATGATTATTATAAGTTTTCTTTGATGATGATGATGATGATGATGATGATAATTGTCATTCGATTCTTTTTGATGATGGTGGTTGTTGTTGTTGTTACGGTCTTACGGACAACAACAACAACAACATGGTCCATTTATTTTGATAATTATTAATCATAGAAACTCTTATTTTTGGTTGTTGTTGTCATTTCCTATGATAATAAATCATATTTGTTTTGTTTTTTGGTGTGTGTGTGACCGATAAACAAACAAAAACAAAAGCAAAAATCCAAGCAGAAAAAACGGCTGTTTGAACGTGTCAAGACGAGGAAATTTGTGGATAATTATTATTCAACAACAAAAATTATCATTATAATTCATACCTTTTTGTTTTGGATAATTGGGCGCCAGGTAAATCAATTTTTGGTTGATTGTTTCCGGATTTTCTTTTCCCGAAGAAAAAAAATCATAATCAATCGAAGGTAAATCAGGAATTCGAATGTTTTTCTGTTTTCTGTGTTCGAATCCTGCTATCGATACTATCGATAGTGTTTATATTCGATTTATTCGATTCGATATTCGTTCATCATTATTCGATCAATTGTTCGATGTTGATGATGGATCAATCAATCAATCAATCAGGTTTTTTTTCTTTGTAGAACAACAAGAGTTTTGTATGACCGAAATAGTGATGATAATGATGGTAAGTGATGCCAAAATTTTATTTTCTGATCAAAAAATAAAATTTATTTGCCCAGAAAACTTTTCTGTTTCTTTTCTGTTCCCCACTCACATGTATCGATTATTTATAAATCAAAAAATCAAGCCATTTTGATCAACAACAACCAAAAACCAAAAATAATAATAATGGCCAAGGACCTGTGTTCACCTGATCATCATCATCATCATCATCTTTTTCCCAAAGTTTTTTGTGTCTATTATCATCATCATCGTCGACCACAAATCATCATCGAGTCGAACCAAGCAAAAATCGTGATAATAATCATCAATAATAATTCAACGAAAGCAACCATTATATCGATTTCGGCAACAAAATATTGGTCATCAATAGAAAACGAAAATAATCTTTGGAAAAAGATCATTTCATTCGAATCGATCACCGATTGATCACTTGGTGTTTTTCGAAAAAAAATACCAGACGAAAGAGCGATACTAAATTCAATTACCAAACGATGATCGGATTATATGAGTTTTGTTTTTGTGTTTTCAAATCCAATATTGCTGCTCGGGAAATTTTCCCATAATTCCAATCAACTAATTGTTCATTGGCGAAAAAGAAAAAAGATAATCCGATTACCATTACGATGATAACAATGTTTTTTTTGTTTCTGGAAAGTTTTTCTTCTTTCTTGGTAAATTATTATTTACAGTCTACAATCGATTACCAGAAAAAAACCGAGATATAAACGGAAAATCTTGTTTCTCTTTTCGTCAAGAAAAATTGTCCGATGATGACACAAACGCCGAATTACCGAAAATCCCGTTTCTTTTTCTTCGTTAGCTTTTGATTGGTTCACGGGTATTGACAAGATGAATGGAAACAAACTATATACACGGGTATCTCTCTCTTGCTTGCTTGTTTGTTCTCTTTTTTTGTTGTTTGTTGTTTTGTTTGATAACCGTTTTCAGTTTTGTCCGAATAATTCAAACAACAACAACGATGAAAACTCGATTTTTTTCTTTCTTGTTGAAATAACCGTTTCTAGGTTATGAATCGGACTGGTCTCTTTCTCACTCTGTTTCTGTGTTTTTTACACTCTCCCATTCAGCCAAGAAAAAAACAGGTGAAAAGCATATGGTTTGATTTTATTTGGCCAGGTAAACTCTACAGGTTGTTGTTTGACTTTTGATTTTTTTTCCTTGCTGAGTTTTAAAAAAATAAAAAACTAGCGGTTTATGCAACAGGTGTGTGCGACCAACAAGCCATCCAAAAAAAAAACTCACAAAAGCCTGTTTAAAAAGACGACACTCTTTTTTTTGGACATACAGATTTTCTCTTGGATTTTTTTTCCATTTTGGAAGAAATTTTTCGGTTCATCATTCATCAGGTTTTTCATCATTTCATTTCTCGTCACCACGTTTGTTGATCAATTCAGTCAGTCAGTCAGTCAGTCAATCGAAAATATTTTTTGTTCAATGTGATTTCCTTGTTCATCATTCGACATAATTCCATATTGAAAATGTTCATCCAAAAACAACATTGGACACAATATGCATTATCATCATCATCATCATGATTAACAATTTTTATTTGATTTAAAAATATTCTGTGTGTGTGTATATGTTTGTGTGTAAATAGTGTTTAACTGATCACAAAAATGAAATGAATTTTGATTCTGGAAACTGTTATTGTTTTGTTTTTTTTTCAATCTTTGGATTGATTGAAAATGTTTAAAAGTATAAGTAATGATTTTTAATTAATGATCAACAATCGACAAAAAAAAATTGTTTGTATCAATCCAAAAACAACAACAACAACAAAACAGCCACCAACAACAACAACAACAAGTCACCAACACTAATGCAGTCAATGCGGCCAAAGGTCGAAAACGATGCTAAATGCCTTGGTGAGAATTATAAGAGTGGCCAATATAATAGTTGTCACTACTATTGTTGTTGTTGTTTTTGTTTTAATTTGTACAATCACAACGACAACAACAACTACCATCAACAAGAACAACATCAACACAATAATCAATCCGAATATTTATTCACAAACATACGGAATCGATTCAACGACAACAACAACAACAAAACATCGTTTAAAACAAACAAATTATCAACAACAACAAGAATTTATTCATCCAACAACAAATCTTTATTATCGCAAAGATCAACAGCCGCAACAGCAACAAAAATCGCAAAAAAGACGATTCCTATGGCCAAATATATCGTTGAATTTGACGCAAATTCAACGACAACAACAACAACAACAGCGACAACCGCAAAGAAGAAATCATCATCCACATCCACATCATCTAAAACAACAATCGCAACCAATTGCGGCAGCAGCATCAGCTGCTGCCGCATCAATTCATTTATTAACAATCAATTCAGCATCATTTATTGCTCCTAATAATCGATTGAATCGCAATAGTGATGAAGACGATGATGGTTATATCGTTGATGATGATGATGAAGATCAAGATCGAGCAGAAACATCAAATACAGCCATCGCAAACTATTGGCCATCATCATCAAGATCAACTGCAAATAATATTCGTAAAGCGATATTTCAATCAAATCTAATCAATAATAATCGTCCAGCATATTTATCAACATGGCCACAATCAAAAAAAGATACAAAATTTCAAATCTATTCACCAATAATATATCAAACAGAATCAAATAATGAAAAAATTTGGCCTCGAATCGATAATCAATCACCAAATTATTATTATCCATTATGGTTTCAACAGACACAAACAACAAAAACATCATTGAATCAAAATCAAAATTTCGAATTACCATCATCGTCATCGTCAAACACTGAATTGATCTCATCATCTTCTTCATCGTCGTCGTCATCATCGTCATTTCAACCAACAACAACAACAACAAAAACACCTGGAAAAACAACCGATATCGTTTTTTTAAATGGTAATCATCATTATTATCATCAAAATAATGTTGCTGATGGTGATGTTGATGGTGGTATAGGAACTACTTTGACAACTTCAAAATTCATCATTAATAACGATCAGGATCAGGATCGTCATCTTCAAAATCTGGATCATCATCAAAGAAATGATTACGATACTGGTGGTGGCAGTGGTGATGAAGATGAATTTTTGTTCGATCGTACAGCACCAGATAGTATGTACATAAAAGTATCCAGAGATTTTTTTTTTAATTGAATGTTTTTCTTATCTTTATCCGTCGTTTGATTATATCATCATCCGTTTGTAGCATCAGCAGGTTTTTTTGCAAAAGCATTAGATAATGTTGTACGATTTTTACCAACAATGCGTATACGTGAACGACAAAATCCTGGTTGTGTTGGTGGTACTAAATGTCAATTTTTTGTATTCTGTTGGATGTCTGGTGGTTCATTAGGTGCATCATGTGGCCCATTACATACTTGTTGTGTAACACCAAGTAGTCAGGATATACAACCAAAATATTGGGGACCTGTTATTAATGATCCACGTATGTATAGCATTTTATCTATTTTTGAATCGATTTTTTGATTTTTGATTTTCGATTCTTTTGGTTTCCATTCGGTATTTAGAATGCGGAAAATCAGCAACAAGAATTAGTCGTATTGTTGGTGGATCGGATGCATCGTTTGGACAATTTCCTTGGCAGGTTTGTTAACATACATTTTGAAAAGATTTTTTTTTTGTTGCCGAAAAGTTTCTCCCAAGTGTGTAGGCGTTTGTGTGTGTGTGTAAATATCATGTAGGTAGAAATAGATGATTTAAATCCAGAGAAATTGGCCAATCTTTGAAAACCAGCCATAAAGATGATGTTCATGTTTCTTTCTGATATTGCTTTTACCGGCATCAAACATATAGGAAATTCGCATCATAAAGTGATCATCGTATGAATGAAATGAAAAGAAATGAATATGATTTAAGTGGAGAAACAGATACCTGCTTCTCTCTCTCTCTCTCTCTCTCTTTTTGATTTTCTTTGGTTTTTTTTGATCCGAAAGACAAACTTGTTGTTGTTGTCTTGGATTTGACCTAAATTTTCTTCGCTTCTCGAAGGATTCACCTGAGCAAAATGATTGACGAACTTCTTTTCTCTCTCTCTCTCTCCTTAAACACACTTTTTTTGTTTTGTCTGATTTTGTTGTTGTTGTTGTTGTTTTGGTTGTTGAATTACACAATCGAACAACCAACTAACCAACCAAACAAACAAACAAACAAACGGGATTCATTCGGTTGGTTCAAAAAAAAACTTGATTCTTTTTCTTTTGATCAAATTAAAACAAATTAACAATCGATGATGATGATAATTTCAATGAAACTTGAACTGAAATTTGGATTTTCTTTTCTTTTATTCAAAATGGAAAATGATTGATTTATTTGATAGTGGTGGTTGGTTGGCTAAATCAACCTAGTAATAACTATTTTTTTTCTGGTTTTTTTTTAAATTTCATTCAACCGAGAAAAAATTCATTCATTCATTCTTTTTTTTTGTTGTTCAGTACATTTTTGGATCATTGATCATCGTTTGATCATTTGATTTGGATCGATCGATCGATCGATCGATTTAATTTGTTGTTGTTGTTGTTTGCTAATTATTTATCTCTCTCTTTTGACGACAAAAGGCATTCGTACAAGTTGGTGGTAGCCGGTGTGGTGGTGCATTAGTTGGACCAGCTCATGTTGTCACTGCTGGACATTGTGTTGCAAGGTAAAATTTGATTTTGATTTTAATAAAGTTTTTTTTTTAAATGAAAATTTTTCCAAAATTTAGGTCACAACATAATCCATCAAGTATACGTGTTACATTAGGTGATTATATACTACATTCTGAAATTGAAAGTCTACCACATGAAGTATTTACTGTTAGTGAAGTAAAATTACATCCAAATTTTCGTTTTACACCACAAGCTGATCGTTATGATGTAGCTGTATTAGTTTTGGATCGTTCCGTACAATATCGTGAAAATATTATGCCAATTTGTTTACCACCAAAAGATACTATTTATATTGGCCGTATGTCATATGTTGCCGGATGGGGTGCATTACAAGCAGGTAAATATTTAAAAATCGATAGTATCGATATTTTTTTCAAACAATCGATTTTTTTTGAAAAAAAATAAAGGATCAAAATTACGACCAAAAGTATTACAACATGTACCAGTACCTGTTATTGAAAATAATATCTGTGAAAATTGGCATAAACAACGTGGTATTAATATTAAAATTTATGATGAAATGATGTGTGCTGGTTATGAAACTGGTGGTAAAGATGCTTGTCAGGTAAAAAATTTTCTGATGTTTTTTTCCTTCTAAATATTCAAATGTTTTTTATTTCCCATTTGAACAGGGTGATTCTGGTGGTCCATTAATGTTAAATGAATTTGGTGTTTGGTATTTAATAGGTATTGTTTCAGCTGGTTATTCTTGTGCCAAACAATATCAACCAGGTATTTATCATCGTGTTAGTAGTTCATCGGATTGGGTTTCAGCAAACGTATTTCCATCAGCACATTTTCGTGTACCAAGTTAAAAATTCAAAATCAAAATCTGAAAAAATGTTTGTAAATAATGAAAAAAAGGAAATTTCTGTTAAATCTTCACACAAACACTCATCACACATATTACATAACCCTTTGTGTAAAAACAAACCAAAAACAACGAAAAACGAAAAAAAATTTTAAAATAATCCACGCATGCACACACAAACCACATTTGTTTTGCTTTTGTTTTCTCGCTTATTTTCGCTTATCAAGCCAATTTGATTTTCTCCTAAACCACACGTATTTTATCCAGGCAAACCATTTTTTTTTCATATTTATTTCCACATCCATTATCGATCAATGTTTTTTTTCAATTCTGATTCTGTTTTTCTCTTTCTTTCGTAATTTTTTTTTACTTTTGGATTTCACTTGTGATTATTATTGATTATTAATTAAATTAGCAAAATATTAATTAAATTTACCAAGAAAAAACTTAAAAATATTTAATTACAGAATTCGGTTCGTTTTCCCCCTCTCAATATAAAAAGTTCGTCGTTGAAATTCCGATTCAGTCGATCCAGATTCTGTGTTTACTTTTTTTCTTGCATCTGCATTTCTCTGATTCGCACAAAACTAAAACCGCCAAAAAATGTCAGCAAATGCTGCTGTTGTAGATGATTTTCTAATACTTAAATCAATCAACAGTCATTATG